GGGGAGCAGCAGTGCGGCGGGTGGGGGGAGAGGGAGGAGGGAGGACAGAGGAGGGGCGGAGGAGGGCGCCACCGGAGTGACCGAGGCCGAGGAGGCAATCCGTCACCAGTGTGACGCGACGCGGAGCACCAGCTGAACTTTGAACTGGACATCCGCGGGCCATTTTGTGGGCCGATGCTGCAAAGTCGTCTCGGGCCAGGTGGCAGAGTTAGGGCGGACGACATGCGACACGAGATGGTAGCGCGAGGACCTGGGTTGCCCTGGCTGCTCACCCCCGCCGTGTTTCAGCTCGCGAACAAGACTGTGGGTATTATCCATGGCCAATTATCGGTTTGAATCCCGGCCGGGTACTTTGCCGCGGGAGTGCGCGACCCTCTCTCCCGCTCTGGCGCGCTCTGGCGCGGCCCGCAGCTGTCACTCTCCTACTCGAATTAAACTCATACAGTAACTCCAATTGAATCAGCGGGGACGGAAAATTGTCAGAGAAGAAAGGAGGAGGAGGAGAGACAGGACAGGTTGTGCTCGACGATTCATATCCGATTAAATCTGTTTAGTCAGTCGCTTGTTGCAGCTCATCGCGGAGACGTGTCCCTCCCTCCCCTCGCCTGACCTCCTCCCCTGCTCACCTCCCTCCCCCTCGCTATGTACTGAGCATGTATCCAATTACTTTCTTTCATCGCGACATACCACCCCTCCCTCCCCTCGCGAGTCGGGGCGGCTGCCAGATGGTTTGCCTACCTCTCCGGCGCAGAGGGATGACACCACCCAGGCTCGCACCCGGTACCCGGTATGCCTTGTGCTTGCCTATAGTAACGGGCACACCATGGACTAGCCTCGTGCAAGTACTTTCGACCCAATGAAAATTACATTATGACGAAAAAAAAAGCAACAGTGTGTCGTCCTCGATACCGAAGTCCGTTCTCCTTGATCTTATCTCTTGAGTCAACTAGGCGCACCGGTATCGGCACCGGCTCTGCTCAAAAGTGACACGCTGCAGGACACCTGGGCGGGGCACGACGGACGGCACACGTGACTAACTACTTCGTCACTTCTCGGGACCGAATTGTGTGTCACTTGTGACGTGTGGGCAAATATTATAGCCGATGCGCGCACCACGAGGTTCTGGGCTACCCGTGGCGCCTCGGGCGCAGGAGCAGCAGGGCGAGGGACAAACGGCACCGACTTTTAAGCGAAACGCGGGAGAGAGGACGAGAGAGCGAGAGAGAGAGAGCAGGCTCCGCTATTGTGGGGGTGGGCCGCCATCTCCAGCATGATTGCCCCCGTCTTCATCCAATTAATTTACGTTTTCGGCCGGCGCCTCGGGCCAATGGAATAGAGGCCGATGGGATGATATAGTGACCTAAACGGGAGCGGAGCGGGGTGGTAGACTTTTGGTGCAGTGCACCTATGCAGCCCCCCCCCCCCTCCCGTGGCCACATCACATCCTTATCGTGGAGTGCAGCCTTGGCTTTGAGGAGCGGAGAGGTACCGTAAGGGGGTACCTCGGCATGTTGACGGCGACGAGTCCAAGCCGAGGGGCCGGACCGCAAGCGACGACGACCTCTTTTTTTGTCTCTTTCGAATTTGAAACGCTTCAGCGCCCCAACTGGGGGGCTCGACTTGTTTGGAGGGCGAATTGGCTGAAGAAGTTCCGACAGGGACAGGAAAAGGAGGAGGGGGCGGGGGAGTTGGGGAGAGGTAAAGAAGGGGCGGTGGAAGCGGGTCCGTTTGGCGTGTTCTTCCCCTCTGGTTCCCTTGGTCAGTTTGGTGCAATAAATCTGCGGAGCGTGGAGGATGTCTCGTGCGACTTCGCCAAAACAGCTCTCTCTCAGTAACTAAACACCCTCCCCGTCTATGTCTCGGTGCACTTGCACACCCAGCCCCTCTTCTCCTGGTCTCTCGCGTACTGGGTTCCCCGTTCCGGCTGTCACCAAGAGCCGCAGTGCACGAAATCCGTGACCCCTGAACGCTGCGCGCGAGGCTGCGCACAAGCGGGGCGACATGAAGGCGCCCCGACGACGGGCGCCCCCGCGCACATCAGCACAAGCTGCAGAATGCGGCTGGACTCCAGGGCGCCCTGCAGTGTCCAGCAGAGTCCAGCGGCATCGAACGGAGTCCGCGGGGCTGCCCGCTATAAATCTCTGAATCTGGCTGCTTATGCGCGCCCCTGGGGTGGCCGGCCCGCCCGCGCGCCCGGCCTCGGTCCAGCTTCCTAATATATGCATTTATAATAGCGGCTCCCCGATGTCGCCGCCTTGTCGCCAAGGGGTGATTTGTGATCCCGAGGCCGCTGCGTCGCCGCGCGGTCCGGTCGCTGCTCCGCACGCGCCGCGACGCGGGCCGTGGCGTGACCCCCCGCGTCGACTGCCCGGCCCCGGGCTCCGAGTTTGGGCCCCGGGCCCCACGGGCCTGGCTGGAGATTCACGAAACAGCCTTTACCTTCGACAACAGGACGACAGCCAGGGAGGCTGTGCGGGAAATGAACGCGTGCAGCACCACGTACTTGGGCCAGGAGCGTCTTCTTACCCCTCGGTGAAATGTTTTCGATTACTGCTCTGTCGCGCGACCATGCCTCACCGCTCGCCCCGAGCCCCCCCCC